GATAGAATTCTGACCTCACTGATTCTCTGTTTGACTTTGGGCAAGTCATTTCCTCTTCATACATCTCAGTTTCTCCATCTATAAAATGAGAAGGTCAGGCTAAATGATCTCTAAGGCCCCTTCTATCTCTAGCATTTCATAGAATCAAGAACATTCTCCCTGGAAGGTCGTTATTAAAGTTCACAAGTTTCCTAGAAAGGAAAGGATGTGGATAGTGGGTTTCTTATTGTTCTCTTCCATCCCTAAATATGAGTTTATCAAGTTTATCATTGTTGGCCTGGAAGGTGTAGGATAACTGGTTCCTGAGGAAGAGTACTTACTCACGTAAGAGGAGCATGATCATGCTTTGATAAGGAGGGCAAGTCCTAGACATTTGTCATGGAAGAGAAGGGTTGAGCCAAAGGGAAGGGCCTTAACCATGCTACCCATGGTTCAGGATACACTCAGACATCCCATTGCTATGGATGAAACTCACCATGGTCACTGGGGTGCTACTCTACCCCAACTTGGGGTAGTTCTGCAATTTGTAATAGAGGGAGGGATCTTTAATTGGGCCTGGCCAGCTAACCTTGCCTGGGCATTGGACACAGGCGTGCTGACTGAAGACTGGTACCCAGGTTACTGTGCATTTCATGCTTGAGGCCATGTGTGCAGAATTCCTTTCTGATTAGTAGACCCATCCCTAAGCTCTGAACCTCACCTCCCCCAGTGTATCATAAGGGACCTCAAACCTTATTTGGGCATTTGGATGATGGTGACTGGATGATGTTGGTGGCTGCTTCTGACCTGAAGGAAGAAGCCAACTTGGGCCTGGCCTAGAGATGTGGTTCTTTAGCTGAAAGCAAAGCCCCCTGGGAATAATGTCTAAACCTGTCTGCTTGTTGGTTCATGCCAACCTTCTGCTTTCTCTGTTCTCCACTAGAGAAGCTGAGCTGTTGTTCAGTTGATCAGTCGTGTCTGACTCTTCTTGACCCTATGGACCATAGTACGACTGTTCATGGAGTTTTCTGGGTAAAGACACTGGAATGGTTTGCCATTTTTTTTCGCCAGTGGATCACTTTTGGTCAGAACTCTCCACCATGACCTGTGTGTCTTGGGTAACCCTGCACGGCATAGCTCACAGTTTCATTGAGCTATGCAAACCCCTCTGCCACAACAAGGCAGTGATCTGAGAGGGGATGCTGGACAGGGGTGACTGAATTGAGATATGGAAGCTGGGGATTGCCCAGGACTGCCTGGGACTGCACAGGGTGGTCCATGATCATCTGCAACTGGTTGTAACTAACCGTGATTGTGAATGATGTCCCATGATGACATATGACTGCCCATTATCAACCCTCATTTCCTGTGACTGCCTCATGACTACCTATGATGGACAGTCTGTGACTGCCTGAATCTATCCCTTGACTATCATTGCCTACAACTGCCTTTGACCTCCTGTAACTGCCTCTGACTACACGGCTGCCTTTCCACTTGTGAGTACCCCCATGACAGCCTGTAACTAGTCTGGACAGTCCATGTCCAACCCTAATTACCGATGACAGCTTACGGTGGCCAGCTGGGGGTAAGAATAATCTTCTGGCTCATTTGTCTCTGTAGGTTCTCAGTTGTTTCTTGTCTGGGTCCTGACTTGCTTTCCCTCCTGCTGACTTCAGCCTGCCCCATCTCCTTTCACCCCTAAGGCATCTGTCAGTCTCTCAGAGTCCTTGCTTGGGCTCAGTGCCCATCGAGGGCTGCTCTTGCTGGCAGTCGAGAATTTTGTAAAGCTTCGGGTCCCCAGGGGAGGTAGGGACAGCTGGGAGTCATCTGGCTGACCTGGTTTCATAGAAGATGCGTTTACCTTCCGCATGATCAGAGAAGAATAGAAGAATCTTCTTTTCCCTTTATTCTCTTCATAAAAACAAAACGATTCCTCTCTGTAAACACAGCTCATCTTTCTATAACATTTTTATATCCCAGATTTTTAAGCAATGAGGATCTAGGTGCTTTGGAAGGAATCTTAGATATCAAGCCAGGCGACCTGAGTGCCAATCTCAGTTCTGCCACTGACTTCCTGTTCCACCTTCCCTTTTCCAAACCTGTTTGTTCCTGTTTAAAATGGGTATAATCATACCTGCAATAATTACTTCTCAGGGCTGTTTTGAAGATTAAATGATAGGAGGGATATAAATAACTTTGTAAAACATAAAACTATATGTAAATATGAGCTATTTTTTGTATCTATGCAAGGTTTTGACTTCCCAAAGTGCTTTTCCATCAGTCTTCTCCTATTCTCACAACAGCCATGTGAGGGGCAGAGCAGGGACTAATAACTTTGACACTTGGCATTTGAGAATGTCAGAAAATTAGAGCTTGAAGGGACCATGTTAGAGATCATCTAGGCCAACTCTCTCATCTTACAGATAGGGACACTGAGGCCCATAGATGGCAACTGACATGCCCCAAATTATACAAGCTATGGTAGAAATGGAACTTAGATCCAGATTTTCTGACTCTTCCTTGACATGTCACAGATAAAGAAATTGTGGTCTAGAAAGATCTGGACCCTAGCTCAAGGTGACAAAGTAAGTCCGGCGCAAAGGTGGAATTTGAACCCAGGTGTGTTGAACTCCTGAGCAGGCATCTTTCTACCAAGCCATATTCTACCATAAATACAGGATTTTAGGTTCGTTTCTCAGTCTACCCTGTTGGCAAGGTCATAAATTGATAGTGGTTAGAGAGGAAAGGGAGTATTGTGAATAGAATGCTGGATTTGGAGTCTGAAAGACTTGACTTTAATTCTGCCTCAAATGCTAGCAGTAGAACCCAGAGCAAGTCATTTAATCTCGTTCAATCTCACTTTCCTCATCTGTGAAATGAAGAAGTTGGGCTAATGAGTGAGCATGGGGCAGTAGCATGAAGGCTGATAAAGACTTTGAGAAACAGGGTTCAATCCCAGTTCTGGCACTTAAAGTAACTTTTGTGTTCTTGGGAAAGTTGCTTTGGAAATCTTAGAAAATAATAGCCAAAGGTCTAAGCTCTTTTTTAATATTATGGCTATAGGTAGTGTGTGTGTGTGTGTGTGTGTGTGTGTGTGTGTGTGTGTATGTGTGTGTGTGTGTGTATGCATGTGTGTGTGTGGTGGGAGGGCAACAAGGGAAGAGAGAGACTGATGCCTCCTTAGGGAGCAGTTGCCATTTTTCAGCTCCCTCTAAGGCTTGAACTTGGCATGGCTTCTTGGTGGCCCAAGAACAAAAACCTAGTGCATGAAGAGGCTGGGACTCCACAGGTTTGACCCATGTTTCTTGATCTGGTGTGCAACCATGACAAATGGGGAGGCAATCAGGGGTTGTACCCAATGGAATCAATGTTGTATTCTTGCCGAATGCCTTTTCTATGCTATTGTTAAGTAATGCTTCTTTTATTAAATGTTACGTGGTCTGTGAGTGTTTCATTTCCTTTGCCCCATGGTTTAATTTACTTACCTTCAGGACTGTGGTACCATAGCGTTTCACACATGTTATCTCATATGGTCATTAATGTAAACCTATGAGATATGTTGCCTATTATCATTCTGCCCATCTTTGTAGAGGAGTCAAGGAAGCTCAAAGACTTTAAAAGATATATCTCAGTTCACACAGGTGGTAAGTGGAAGGGATGTGACACATGATTGTTGATCCAGGCACCCTGAGAGAACAGGAAATAGCTCAGGTGGTGTCATCTTCCCCCCCATAAATTATCTTCTATTTTGTATACATTTACATCTACCTGCCTACATGCTGTGTCCCTCAGAACTTTCTCATTTTCATCTTTGAATTCCTAGTCACTAGCATAGTACCTGGTACTTAGGAGGCACCTAATAAATGACTGATGATGGATATTTACATTTGCATGTAAGTTTTTTTTTCTGCAACTTCTGACTTCATTATCAGTGAAAACAATCATTTGGTGCATTTCACTTCCTCTGGTAGTATACCAACCTTTTGCCAGTGGATAGAAATCTGATTTTTTAAGAGATAAAAATTAAATTAATGTTTGTGGATTATGTAAAAACCGTGATTCTTAGTACCCTCTCCTTCATTTTCTGCCATTCTGTAGAACACAGAAGGGAGTCACACAAGGCTAAGGACTATTTCATTTAAAAATGTTTTTCATGGGTTTCCATGGCCCAAGAATTCATTATCTTGTGGCCAACCCACTGTGCCTTTCCACTTAGCTAGGTAGGTCACCAGTTGGAGTGTCTGTTGCCTTGACTACATTGGAAACCTTCCCAGCTTGTTAGAAACTATGAGAGCTTTCACAGCTGACATTATCTTCAAGAACTAACTAATGTTTGTTAATCTGTTAACAGTCATTTATTAAGTGCTTACTATGTGCCAGGCTCTGTGCTAAGCACTGGGGATACAAAGAAAGGCAAAACCACAGTACCTCCTCTCAAGGATCTCACATTTCCACAGAGCGGGACATAACCTTTGAATAACTGCTAAAATAATCTTCCTAAAACATAGCTGCGACTACATTACTCCTTCATCCAAAAGCTTTTGGTAGCACTTAATTCACCATGGGATAAAACAAACACCCGTCAGATCGGCATTTGAAGCTTACTCTAACCTCTATTTCCTGACAACGTACCCACCTCCACCTTCATGTATTGTATATTTCAGACAAAATGGACTGCACCTTTCTTATGAAATGTTGGCAGACATTGTCTGGCTGACTTCCACTTTGGTGCGGCCCCAAAGGTTACCCTCCCATGACCAAAATTCAGGCCTTCCTTATCTCTGCTGTTGAGATATTCATCTTTTTTGAAGTCTAGCTCAGGTGCTGCCTCTTCCTAATTCCCTTAGCTGAAAATTCTCCCCTCTTCAAATTTTCCTAGAGCACTTTGTCTATGTCTTACTTTGTTGTTATAACTCTTTCTTGTGTCATATTTATCCTCTGATAATTTGTACCTACTCCTCTTTTTCCCTCTTCCATTAGAATATAACCTTCTTAAGGGAAGGAACTATGTTCACCAGTACTTAACAAGGTGTTATACATTTTATTTTGTCCAGATGTGATTCCATAGGTGAAATTTCATCGTGAAAAGTCCTTTCACCAGTGCTGAACAGCAACACACCTGTAATTTATAGTCTTGAGAAGTCTTAGGGCATGGAAGATTATGTTACTTGCCTATGGTCACATAGCTAATATGTGTTAGAGATAGGAACTGAAGCCAGGTCTTCCTGACTCCAATGCCGTCTCTCTACCCACTATGCTCTGGCTGCCTTTCACCTTGCTTGTAGTAATCACTTCATGTTTATTGCATGGGATTAAGTTAAACTGGACAAAGGTGACAAATTTGGAAAACAAAATAAAATCTATTTGTGGATAAACAAGTGAAACTTTCTTTAATGTTTGAGAAAGTGATGTGCCCAAGATCCAATGTTCTCTGATAAAAGTTATAGTAATATGAGTCCAATTTGTAATTGTGGAACAGCAGTTTGACCTGGCAGTGTCTGGGCTTCCAAGAATTCTAGAGGAGCATGTGTCTGTGTGTGTATGGTGTGCTTGTATGTATGCAGGCATGCACACATGCATGGGTATGTGTATATGTGTGAGTGGGCATAACTATACATGTCTATTAAAAAGAGATACTTGGGATTCTTAATGGACTGACCACAAGCTCAGTATGAGTCAACAGGATGACATGATAACCAAAATAATGAAAGAAATTGTAGGTTTCATTAAAAGAATCCAGAATGCACTCATTAAAAAGTGTCCAGAATGAAGGAGGCAATGGTCTGGCTGACTTCTGCCATGATAAGCACATATCTAGTATTAACTTCTGCATGTCACATATTAGGAAAGACACTGAAAAGCTGGAATTTGTTGAGAGGAGAATGACCCAAATGATGATTGAAGACCACCCTATATAAGGGTATGTTGACAGACTTGGGGATATTTAGCTTAGAGAAGGGAGAAATCAGCAGATATTCAGGTCATTACATTCAATGACCTGAAGGGGTATCATGGGAGAGACTTGTTCTGTTTGGCCCAGAGGGCAGAATCAGGAGCAATGGGTGAAAATTAGCTGAGAGGCAGGTTTTAGCACAATATAAGGAAAAAGTCCATAATGATTAGAACTGGCCAAAAGTGCAGTGGTTTGTCTCTGAAAGAAATGAGATCCTCATCATTAGAAGTATTTGGGTGGAGGCTAGATGACCTTTTATGGGACCTGTTGTAGAAGGGATCCCTCCAGGTAACTACAAATTGAGCTTGATGTTCTCAGACCATTTCCAGCTCTGAACTTGTGTGTGTCTGTGTGTGCGTGTGTGTGCATGCATGTGTATTTTAATAGTGATAGTGGGAAGGTCTCATAACTGACTTACTACTGGCCCTGGAGAACCCATTAGAAAATGGGTCTTGGTGCTTGGAACTTTCTCAGCAGACACATTGTTTGTTTGTCCTTGAACTTGAACATGCTGCTCAGAAGACTCTCAGCTTCCTGGAACTTCATGTCAGAAGGCCCCATATTCTAGGCTCAGACACCATTCATTGCCTTGCAGGGTGGAGGGCTGTAGAAGTCACTTTCCTGAATGATAACTGAAGAGGTTCCTCAAACTAAGAAAGGCAGAAGAACTGCATCTGTGCAAATGCTTGGGCTCTGTGGAGGCTCCTGTCACTGTCTCCCAAACCACTTCCAGAAGGTCATAGCCATGTGTCTTACCCGGAGGAGGAAGAGAAGGAGCCAGGCTCGGAATTCCTCCAGGGCCTTGGAGCCCAGCTTGGTCTGACCACAATAGAGGCTCAGGGCTAGGCCAAGCAGGATGCAAAGGCAGAGACACAGGAAGAGAGGGCATCCAGATGACCACCTGTCTGGGGCTGCAGATACAGCAGGAGGAAACAGCAACAGAATGGGGTTAGTGTTGGTTCATTGGCAGGCATCCCCTCACCATGCTTGGGGGCAAGCTGGATAAGAACAGAACCTGGAAACTGAGGCCAAAGATTTTCTATAGGCATGAGGTATGGTCCTACCTTTCTCCTCACCCCAAATCCTGCATATTCTCAGAGAAGTTGTTTTTTTTCTTTTTTTAGTAAAGCCTTACTCAAAAGTCATTGACTTCATTAGAAGTCTCCAAGTATAGGCTTGTATCCACTTGTCAGATGTGTTATAATGAGGATTCTTTTTCTGGTATTGGTTAGACTTGATGGTCTCTGAAGCCCCTCTTGACTGGAAAATCTGTGATGCTGTGGTCTATGACACTGACTCACCCTAAAGGAAACTTTATAGTCTGATGAGAGGAGACAGGATGTGGACAGAAATAACCGTGATATGAGAAAGAATGTGTGAAGGCGTGGTCGACTGAGTCAATCTATCACATCAGCCCCTCTTAAAGTAACCAACAAAATGCTATGCCTTGATCACTTTGTCAGGTGAGAGCAATCAATCAGTAGATCATAGGCATGAACAAGGCATAGACATCTCTATTAAATCAATAAATCAAAGTGTGAGAAGTCCTTGATCTATTTAGAAGACCTTGAAAGCCATTAGATGAAGGGAGTGAGTTGCAACAAGATGTTAATTGGTATTGCCTGAGAAGATGTGGTCATGCCCTGGAGGCTGTTTATAAAATAGGAAGCCAATTCAGAAATGGGGACACAAAACTCTGGCAGCCTCCACAAGGGTGAGCCTCCAGCCAGGCCCCAGAGAAGAAATTGCTTGGAGGAGAGGAGAAGAACCTCTATATTTGGTCTCTTGAACTTTGGAGGAAATGGCCAATTAAGTTCCTTGATTACGGGCATATAGCTAGCATGCATTATAGGTAGAACTTGGAGCTAAATCTTCCTGACTCCAAGGCTACCTCTCTATCCACTACACCCTGGCTGCTTATCACTTTGCACCCTGGCCATGGTCCTGAACAGCAGTCAATAGCTACTGGGTCTGTGTTGGCAGTTGAAGACAAACAAGACACACCGATGAAATGAATCATTAAGACTCTAACGAGGAGCCTAACAGAAAAGCTACATACCACGCTAAAAGGGAACTTCATGAAAGGGAGAAAAGGACTTTCAGGAACTGGAAGCTGGTTAGTTACCACTTTGCTACCTATACATTCTAAGCACACACCCACCCACTTCCCTCTGGATTCTCTGTGCATTTGTGGGAGAGTGTGTCACAGACTCTGAGGGGATTAGGAGCAGCTTTGCCGATTTCATAGTCTGAGCTGGGATTGGGAAAATCACTCCTGAGTATGTGCTTCGAGGAGAGTTGGACAAAGTGGAATGAGAAATCCGTGTCTGACACGGGCTTTGTGCGTTTTGGGGTGGGATAGGGTTGGTAAGTGTTAGGAATGCTTTTTAGAGAAAGGGCATCTGAGATGGCTTTTGATGGAAGGGAGGGAATTCAACAGATATAGATGGTGGACATAGTCTATGGGGTTCTAAACCCAATCCTCGAGAGGCAGGGGCAAACATAAGTAGTAGTGAAACATACCCAATAGAGGGAAACTGCATGGCCAAGTAGTGAGAGTTCCTGGGCCCAGTTTAAAGGAGAAGGGGAATCCCTGGTCAATGCCGGCCTCTTGGAGAGAGAAGAGGATCAAACATGTGGCCCCCACAGCTTGAAGAGTGGCAAGGAACTATATAATCCATGACAGTAGAGAGTAAGAGACTCTGGTTCTGTAAGTTTTTTGGATACTGTAAGTCTCTAGAAACCCCAAGTACATTTCTCTTCTGGGGGAGTCCAAGCCTATAGGTTGGATATTTTCATCGGTCTCTGTGGCAAAAGTAAGATTCAACAGAATGCTCTGGGGCAATTTCCCTAGCAATCTCAAGTTATCACTAGTGCACAGTGACTGGCACACAGCAGGTGTTCAATAAATGCTTGGTGAACTAAGTTCCTTACCCTGTGAAGACCAAACCACAGGGCAGTACTCATTATGAGGGAGGGTGAAAGGTGGGATTCACCAGAAAGAGAGGAGAATTGTATTTACTATTATGGGCTACAGTGAGTTATGTGTTTCTGCATTTTCTGTAAGGTATAGAAAAGTCTGTTTTTTTTTTTTTAACCCAATATGTGCATGTTATCTTGAGTGCTTGCACTGGGTGTCCTTTATTTCACATCTACAGAGACTTAGGTGCAGAACTGTATTTTGAGACTTTCTTCAGGGAATTGCTTAAGTTCAAATCCAGTCTCAGACATTTCCTAGCTGCACTTAATCTCTGTTCATTGTTACCTTTATCCTCTGGAGGAGGAAATGGCAAACCACTCTAGTATTTTTGCTAAGAAAACTCCATGGACAGTATTGGTATACTGTGGTCCATGGAGTCATGACTGAACAATGGCACTGCCAGGGAATTCTGGGTGGAGGCAACACAGGCCAAAGAGAGAGATCTTTTTGGAACTCCCTTGAAGTTTGCTTAACAAATGTTAGCAGAATTGAATGAAAAGGTGGATTTTGGTTTGATGTCAGGGAAACTTCCTCAAAATGAGACCCATCTGAAAGTGAACGTTACTTATTGGGGATGTTGCAGAGGGATTGCCTATGGGCTGGACTAATAAGGCAAGGGCAGCTAGGTGGTACAGTGGATAGAGCGTTGTGTCTTGGAATCAGGAAGACCCAAGTTTAAGTCTGTCCTTAGACACTTACTAGCCATGTGATCCTGTGCAAGTCACTGAACCTCTGTTTGCCCCAGTTTCCTCAACTATAAATTGAGGATAATAAAGTACCTACCTTGCAGAGTTGTTATCAGAATCAAATAAGATGCTATTTGTAAAGTGCTTAGCACAATGCCTGATACATAGCAGATGTCATATGAATGCTTATGCCCTCCCCTTCTATCTCTTTTTGAATTCTCTGAGATTCTAAAGGGCTGATTCCATGATACTTCCCCTGAGCTATAAATTGTCTTGTCTCAAGGATTATCATGGGTAAGGCTCGTCTTCCCATTCACCAGAAATACGTGGGCACAGCCTGTGTCTTGATGAATAGAAAAGATTCAAATTTTTTTTTTTGCTATATTTGCTATAGGTTGGATGTTTTTATCCTGCTACTTCTTGTATGACTTTGACTTTTCCACTATAGACCTCATATAGAAAGCAAGAGGATTGGATGAGATGGTCTCCTAGCTCCTTTCTTCTAGAATCCCTAAAATTCTCTCCTCTTTCTCTCCTGTCTCCCATAGTACCTTATACGGATCTGAGTGAGGATGACCTGGTAGGGTGGGAAGGTGGGGGAAGCCCTGGCTCTTGGTCTCCTGGGCAATGTGGGAGCAAGGGGCAGGGTAGAGAGTGGCAAGATTTCCTCTGAGCTTCTTCTCCAACCCCAGTCTGGGTTCACTGTCTCTGGGGAGCAGTGCATTCCTCTTCAAAGTTGGCTCTAGGACAAGGCCAGTCAGGTAGGGAATAGCATTAGGTAGGTACTCAGCACTTACCTACGAGGGTGTCCGCACAGGAGATGTCTAGGAATTCAAACAGAAAACAGGAGTGTTAACACATGTCCTACAACTGGGTAAAGGTGGGATGGGGTAGTAGCATATTGGAGGCAAAACAAACACTTGATTTGGAGAGAAACTGGATTGGAATCCTAGCTCTGTGACTTGAGGAAGGTTCCCTCTCTGATCACCCCTTTCTTTACATGAAAGATGAGGGGGCTGGTTTAGATGATTTCTTATGTTTCTTTATTCCTAGATCCTATGATCCTAATAATAACTATTCTTGTTAGAGTATTTTGATCTTTACAAAAAAAAACACACTTTTCTCACAATGACCCTGTGAGGTAGAGATTGCAAATGTAGGTCCTCTTTCATAGGTGAGAAAACTAAGGGTCATTGATGTGATATGACTAGCCCAAGGTCACACAGCTGACAAGTGACAGGTTGGGACTCAAATCCCAATTGACTCCAAGACCAGAGGTCATTCCCACCATACTAGAGAGAATTATAATGGCAACATTAATAATGCAATACAATAAGCATCTATTAAGTACCTACTTTATACATAAGATTGTGATCAAGGCTGGGGAGATGTAAAGTTTAGTCAGACACAGTCCCTGCCTTCATAGCCTTAGAATCTAGCAAGGAGATATGACACCATTAAAGACAAGGATGATGAGAACTCACATTTTATATAACACCTGACAATTTGTTTTAATGAAAGTGTTTTTCTCACAAAAGACTTGTGAGGTGGATAATGCAATAGTACTATCCCCATTGTAAATGTAAGCAGGAGTTCAGCAGGGCATGTACAAATCTTTCCTTCTTGATCCCAGCCAGCCATGTATGGTAGGAATGTAACTAGGGAAAGTGTGAAAGAAAGGGAGGCCAACCCTTCTAATTTAGGGGCCAGGTATCCTTTTAAGGGAACTGAGTCTGAACAAACAAATGGATCCAGGAAGAGGGGCAAGTGCCTCCAGCTCTGTGGGCCCAGAGGTGGTTATTAACATTAGATAAAGATGAAGGAAATTAGGCTTTGAGAGGTTAAATGATTTGTCCATGATCACACATCAAACGCAGGTCTCCTCTCTCCAAATACAATCCTCTTTCCACTGTAATAAGAATAACAGCTAACATTTATCTTGTGACAGGCACCGTGCTGAAAGTGTTACAATTATTATCTATTTGATCTCATAATTACCCTAGGAGGTAGCTGCTATTATTATCTCTGTTTTACAGTTGAGGAAACTAAGGCAAACAGGAATTAAGTGACTTGCCTAGGATCACACATCTAGTAAGTGGCTGAGGCCAGATTTGAACTCTGGTCTTCATGACACAAGACATAGAGCTCTATATAACTGTACCACCTCATTTCCTCACTATAATATTTGTTACATGTTAAGTGCACTAAAGTTGTAAAAATCCCTCTTGTAGCTATAGCACTTTATAATTTGCAAAAAGCTTTTCTATCCATTCTCTCATTTGTTCCTCATAATAACCCAAGGATCCTGGAAGAGTTCTCCACTTTACGGGTGGAGAAACTGAAGTTCAGAGTTTAAGCTTAGGAAATGGGAAAGGTGGTTCTAGAAACCAGGTTCTTGACTCCCAGTTCTTGCATCTTTTTACTATGTTCCACTGATTCTTATAAGTTACTTGTCTAGGAAGCCTGTGGGTGCAGGGTTCTTGACTCCTCATGTAAGCCCTACATGTTGGCAGATGAGGGAAAGCCTCTCTGATCTGTTTTGATGTCTTAAGTTACCCATGAGTACCTAATTCCTTGCCCTCTCTAGGCCTCTTTTCGTCTGCACCATACCAGGGAGGCTTATTCTGAACTCTTATCAATCATTCACACCTCTGTGTAGGTGACTTTATAAGTGGCTTTCAGATGGCTGGCAGCAACATCCATTAGGGTGTCGGATTTTGACCCAGTGGGAATAAGAGGAAGAGATAATTTTGGATCTTGCAGAACCATCAGGAAGCTGGAACTTAGTGGGGCTTTTCCGTGGGGGACTGGGGAGGTGGGGCTATGATCAACCAAGGGATCCTTCCCACTCTTACTTCAGTTACCTGAATTCTCCCCTTCCTTCTGGGTGTTGTTCTATGCCTACCTCTTTCAGGGAGGGGAACAAGCATTTATTAAGAGCTGACTATGTGCTAGGCATCGTATTAAGCATTTTTCAAAATTATCTAGATGCTCATTTTATAGTTGAAGAAGCTGAGGTAGACAAAGTTTAAGTACCTTGTCCAGGGTCACACAGTTAGTAAGTGTTTGAGGTTGGATCTGAACTCTGGTCTTCCTGATTCAAGGTCCAGTGCCTCCTAGCAACCTCATGGAAGTATTTCATGATTGCTTTGGCCCATACTGATCTCCAAACTTCAGGTGTTACTCTCTCATTGGTCCCTTGCCAAAAGCTATGTGACATTGTTATTGCCTTTTCTTTTTCTTTTTTAATGTTATATTTTTTTTTACTTATTTTTGTTAAAGACTTCCCAATTACATTTTAATCTGGTTCAGTCTCACTTAGGAGTTGGCCAAATGCTTGGTAGGCCAATGAGTCTGACACCTTTATTTTAGGTCTTTCCAAAGACAAAATGTAGTTTTTTGTAGGCAATGTTTTATTGGTTTGTTTTGAGCCCTATAGAATCCTTTCTCCAAAGAGCATAAGGGACTATGCATACTTCATTGGGGGTTTGAAAACAGAATCCTTTTGAAATATATTTAAGACCATTGTAATTTAACTGCATTGGCTAACAGTAGCAATGAGTTCAACCATAACACTCCAGGGCTCTGATGTAATGCATGTTGATAATGGGAAGTTCACATCCATCTAAAACTCTCCTATAGTGAAGTCAAGCATAGAATTCTGCAATGCCCAACATATGTTTGCTCAGTAATTAATTAAAAGAGCTTTGAAAAATTAAAGAGATAGGAGGTAGGGAGACCAGTTGAGAGGTTATTATAAAAGTCTGGATAAGAGCTGATGAGGGTCTGAACTAAGATTGCAGCAATGAGAACAGAAAGGAGGGGGATGAATGTTTTAGACACTGATTGATGTAGCAGGTGGGGGAGTAAAGGATGCAGAGTGAAATATTAGGAAAGAATAAGGAAGTTGGGGGTGGTGCATGGTGATGGGTTTGATTGGAATATGAGCTCAATTTCCCAGACTGTCCAGTTAATTGAAACAGCTTATACTTCACCAGGGCTGGAGAACTGCAAATCATCTTTTTTTTTTCTAAATATAAATTTTATTTTGATTTCCACTGATGGGCATCCAAATATATAAACAAAGGACTAAGAAGAGGCAAACAAGAAAAAAAAAATAAGCAGGAAAGTGGAAACAAACAAGAGATTGTGAATAATTGGATGGGTTTATAAGCTCTTGAAGTTTACTAGTCACTGACCCTATTAAAAATCTGTATGTTGTCTTTAATTCACTTCTTCCCTGTTTTCCCAATCTTTTTTGAACTTTTTTACTGTGTGTATAAGATGAATTTGTTGTTCTCATTGTTGACTTTAACTACATAGTTGTCAATGTGTACATTATTCTTCTGGTTCTACTTTTTTGTGTTTATCTAACTCCATATAAATCTGATATTTTTAAAAATTGTTCACATTAATCATCCTTTGTAACACACTACTTTTCCACTTGCATTTATATACCATAATTTGTGCAGCAATTCCACAAGGGATGGATTTCTAGCTTGTTTCTAATATTTTTTGCTATTACAAATAATGCTGCTAGGAATATTTATGTACTGATAACTCTTCCTGCCCCCCTGTCAATAATCACCTTGGGGAATAGTTCCAGGAATGAAATCAATGGGTCAAAAGGGACACACATTTGTGTGTCATTGTTTTACTGTCTAATTTCATATTCTTTCCAAAAATGGACTATGAACCTGTGTTTCCAGCAGCAGTGAGAGTGTGTCTGTTTTACCTCAGCAATGTTAGCTGTGGATTTTTGTGTCTTTTATTATCTTTGTCAATCTGATAAATTTCAGTAGGATTTCAGAGTTTTTACATTTGCATTTCACTGAGAATTAGAGATTCTGGACATTTTTCATGCTGTAAATTTTTGTTTCATCTTTTGAGGAAGTTTTTTTTTGGATACAATGACGATTTATCTATTGGAAAATGGCTCTTACTCTAAAACATTTTTATGAGTTTCTTACAATTTTTGAATGTTGGACTTTTATCAGAAAAGACTGATACAAAATTACTTTCCTCCATTTGTGTTTCTTCCTGATTCTGGATATACTACTTTTCATTGTTCAAAGGAATTTTATTTTTATATAATAAAATTCATTTATTTTAGCTCTTAAAATTTCCTCCAAGTCATAATTTAAGAATTTAATTATTTTTATAGTTGTGAAAATACATAACATTCCCTTATTCTATAGCTTTTTTTTAAAGTGATGTATGTTCACCTCTGTGTGCCTCATATTTAATTCACTGATCCATTTGGAATTTATTGTGTTTTATGGTATGAGATATTGGTGTGGTCCCATTTTTTTGACCAGATTATGAACCCATTTCTTCAACATATTTAATTAATTTATAGCTAGCATTTATATAGGCACTTCAAACATTGCAAAGCAATTTACATATATTAACTCAACTGATCCTCACAACAAACCCGGTGAAGTAGGTATTATTATTATCCCCATTTTACAGATCAGGAAACTGAGGCTGCGAAAGGTTAAGTGACTTGCCCAGGGTCTCACAACTAGGAAATGTCTTAGGCACAATTCAAACTTATGTCTTTCTGACCCCAAGTGCAATGCGCCCTACACTGTGTCACCTGGCTGCATTATTTAAATTAAGCCTGGATAAAATAAAATCAATGTGAAGCAATTTTCAATATTTAAAGGGTAGAAAAGGGATAAGAAGAACTCTGTTTAGCCTCAGAGGACAAAACTAAGAACGAGGGGCAGAAAGTACAGAGATGTAGACTAAGTTTTTTTATTTTATTTATTTTATTTTTATTTTTAGGCAATTGGGGTTAAGTGACTTGCCCAGGGTCACA